CTGCTGGATGGAATATCCCCATTGGCATGCTAATTAAGAAGGGCTTTATTAATCCCAGAGATTGTAATATTCCTCAAGGTAAGAAGGCATACAGTAACTGTCCAATTATAAACTTTCATTAGGGAAGTACATTAGGGAAGTTTTGATACTGCAAAGCTCTATATTAAGTTTGTGAGGGATTGTGGCCTTTTTAATGTCACATTTTGAAACTGTAAGCTTGCTGATTAGGCTAATAGAGGGGCCATGTAGAGAACGTTACTTCTAACATGAAAGTGTTCCTTTCACAAAGTCATTTCTTAATTCAGGTTGGAAGGTTTATCTAGAGCACCTGCTGCTCAAAGTATATCCATTTAGATCTCATTGTCCAGGGCCATGTCCAACCAAATTTTGAGTAATCCTGAAGATGGAGATTCCACAACCTCTTTGGGCCCTTGCCCCAGTTTTTGTCCATTTTTGGTATAAATAATTTCTTTCCTTATATCTAATCAGAATTTTCTTTATTGTAACTTCTATTAGCCTTCATTGACACAAAAGTATGCTGCCAACTCTTGGTCAATGTGTTAACCACCAGGACCTCCAGGTTTTTCAGCCTTGCAGGATTTATTCCTTCTTAAAGCAGGATTTTACATTTGTCACAGAGTTAACTAGATCAATCTAAGCCCATGATAGATGTATTGTTGTCTGCAATTTTACTGCACTTATTTTCAAACATTATTTAGTACTGGAGCAATATAATAATAATACAGTAGTAATAATCAGTTAAGTGGCACTTTGAAAATATTTTAATTTGTGAATTTCAGTAAGGCAGCTACAATTTATGTTTCTAGTGTCCTGCTGAAACTGGTGTTGGTAAAACTTCATGAGAATGTAACCACCTTTTCTTGTGAAGAGACTTCCACTTACGCTGATTTGTCTTTTTTTATTTTAAGCTGTGAGTGAGTTTTTCTCTGCCAGCTGTGTGCCTTCAGCTGAGCAGCATAATTACCCATCAACGCTCTGTCAGCTGTGTATTGGAGATAATAGTGAAAACAATAAATGCAGTGCAAGTAGCCAAGAACGGTATTACAGCTACAGTGGAGCCTTCAGGTAATTAGCACACGTGGTTGTTATTTAGTCTGTCAGTTTGTCAGGGTACAAGGAGGTAACGCTCTCTATCTTAGTCAGCAAGAAGCGTAATTCCTTTTAAGAACAGCCCACTAAAAACAGTAGCAGCCTTCCCCTTTGCAAGATGCTGTGACAGTCATAGCAAAAGAGGTGTGTATGTGCACGTCAAAGCCTCTTGCCAGCATCCTGGCCTACAGCCACACAGATGAGGAACAGCCAAATCCCCGTTTCTGTTTACAGAGCAATGGCCACTCACCTAGTGAGGAGCACATGGGTTGTCATCAGTCTGCAGCCTTGCTTTGATTGAGTGTGACAGCCTGCCACTCTGGTCAGGTCATCCATAAAGAGCTTAAGCAGGGAAACGGGCGAAGAGTAGGCAGTACTGGGTGGCTATGGGTGTGCACTGAGCATGGCAGGCTAGGAGCAGGGAACTGGGGCTGGGTCTTCTCTGTTGTCACCATTTATGGTGGTATTCAAAAATAGGTTTCGTAACAGCAAAAACAGCTGTGTTCATATCCTTTTCAAAACAAGATTTGGTAATGGTATAGGAGGCAAAAATAGCGTAAAATTGAATAAATACTTCATATAACAGTGAACATCAACATTTGGGGTCATTAACTGGGTAGATATGGAAGTTTTTTCCTGGCCTTCACCTTTGAAGATAATGGTGCCTGCAACAGAGCTGGCAGTGAGTGGCCATCTTCCTTCAGAGGAGAGCCTTGGACAGCAGCTGCCTGATAAATACTCAAGTGCTGACTTCATATTTCAGGCCTCATGTAAGTCTCTTCATAGACTGTAATGACTGCTGTATTGTGTGCCTGACAGCACCAGTTACAACATGGGAAACAGCAAATGATTGTAAAGCTGTGTTGTTCGACATATTCGTCCTGAAACTCTCTGGCATGGGATGCCACACTCATAGAAGAAGGAGGAAAGTTTTGGGTGCCCTTGGCAAGTGGGGCCTCTTCTGCTTCAGGAAATTAGGGATACAGAACCTAGTTGAGGAACTAGGTTACTCAACTGTTAGAAACTGCAGTTACTTTAGATGTGTGTCTTCAGTGTAGAGGGCTGTAAAGAAGCATCTGTGCATACAAAAGATCACTCCAACCTGGGAAAAAAAAACCCACAGAAGTGCTTGTGTATGCACACATATGCAGAACCTGGTAAACACTTATGCACTCAAGGAGTCTTAATGGCATACATTTAGTATGTGTTTTAAAAGGTGTGAAAGCTGTTGTTACCAAATGGGGAGTAGAGCACTGAGTATCATTTATCTTCTGTTTCTTTGTTTATCTAATATTGACCTTTCTCTGTCCTTTCTCCCATTGTTATTAATAGCAATTTCCTGCTGTATTACTCTCTTGAAATTCTTAAAGTATTATTTAAACTTTGCAATGATTTTGGTTTTTCTCTCATATCAAGATGCTTCCTTTCTTGGTTTGCTTTTTCTCTTTTCTTTGGGGTCCAATGGATTTATTTGCAGGAAAGTATGCAAGAAAGGTTGATTTCTAAATCTGTCAGTTATTAGAAATGATGTTGTCCCAATAAAGATGCTCTGAATTTAAATTCTATCTCACATTTCATAAAGGTGCCTGGCAGAGGACGCTGGGGATGTGGCCTTTGTGAAGCACTCAACAGTGTTTGAGAACACAGATGGTATTTAGTTTTACTTGACTCTTTATTACAATTCAGTTATTTTTCTTGAACCTTTCAGCTCTAAAGCATTATTCAATGAGTGACAGTGACTAGTTTCTTCTTTTAGGTAAGAATACTGAAAGTTGGGCCCGTGACTTGAAGTCCAGTGATTTCCAGTTACTGTGCCGGAATGGGGCCCGTGCTGAAGTCACTCAGTTTGCTCAGTGCCACCTGGCTCGGGTGCCAGCTCAGGCCATTATGGTTCACCCAGACACCAACATTTTTGCTCTGTATGGACTACTGGACAAAGCTCAGGTAATAATTATGCATTTATTCTGTTGGTGAGTTATGTGTCTAGGCTGACCATGCCAGGCTGCCACAGGCATTCAGCTTCAGTATTGATGGGAATCTGGTTTTAAAAGCAATACTGAGCATCTCCATGCTATGCTTCAGTCATTTCCTTAACTCCTGTGCAGCCAAACCCTGTATTGCATAATAATGCTTACACGGAAGAACTTAATGGAAGTACAAGTCTTTCCAGATAGTAACAAGAACCAAAATTCTTGTAATTGCCAATGGCAGTAGTCTGTATGTTATCTACTGGAGTGTCTTTAAATGAATGCAGGGTCTGTAGTTGTGTGAACTTCTCCTGTACTGAGCAGTTCATGTTGTACTAGAAAAATGTGGCACTTAATCTTGCAAGATACTGAAAATTTTGCATTGTTTTCAGGAATATTTTGGAAATAACAGCAACAGAAATGGATTCAAAATGTTTGATTCTTCAGCTTTTCAAGGAAAAGACTTGATCTTTAAGGATTCTGCTGTGAAGATAGTGCCAGTAGAAGAGAGGAGGACATATGCAGAATGGCTGGGGAGTGAATATGTTGAGTCCCTTGAAGGGATGCAAACACCACAGTGCTCTGGGGCAGGTAATAAGTTAACACAACAGCACCTACTAGTGATTACTTTTGTTCCCTTCATTATTTTAGGTCAGTTACAGGGCCTGGACTAACGTGGTCCAAATGGCAACTTCCAGGCCACCCCTGGCCTAGCACCTTTTCTTCAGATTAGCTGCTGTCTGGATAATATGTTGTGCTAACATTTTAAAGCCTCTTCCTGCCACTTTGCAGGCAAGGTGCTTGTACCATTTGCTCACTGGGAAGTGGGGTGGGACTGAAAGCTGCCTCTGTTCATGTGGATGGGGTGGAATTTGAGGCAGAAGCTATCAGTACTGTGCCATCATGGCTTACAAGATCAGTCCAAATTGAAGTACTTCTGTCATCATTGCTGATGTTGAATGATGCTGGGCTGAAGGACTCCCAAGTGCTGTTAGATGGATACTGAGTTTCTGATGTGTAGAAGAATTTCTGCATCTTGGAAGGCAGTATTAAAGTCTTGTCTAGAGATCCACTCTGGCCTCCTTGCTAGTAGTGTTCTGACTCCTTCATCCCTGCTTATCCTATCCTCACCTTGCTGGAGGCAACAGTTTCTCCTGAGCTCTGCTGCCAAAAGAGGTAAGTGCACAGAGGATGGACAGGCCATGAACTGGGAGAGCACCTGCAGCCCAGAGTACCACCCCTGCCATGTACAGGGTCCTCCACCTCCCAGTAGAAGAAAGCAGGGGGAATCTCCAAAGTCACTGGAGGAAAAGGAAAGCCAGAGAGACTTGGAGGGACTGGCTGCTGGGAGAGGAGAAAGGATGAAGTGTTCATCCACTGAGCTCCTTGACTTTCCACAACCAGTATGCTCACTGCTTCATAAATCTTTGCTTGAAATCTTTGCTGCCATTTCCGCCAGGAAATGTGGCTGTCCTCCTTCTACAGGGGGTTATTTGAGTGCCTGTGAGCAACACTTCCGTTTTCTGTGAGTGAAACAAAGTAGCTCACTACTGATTACCTGTTTCCACACCTGCAGCACTCAGTTTTTATTTTTATCCATAGCTGCACTAACAGCACATGCTGCTGTGCTGCTGGCAGGCAGCATCCTCCTGACCGCAGCCGCCACCCCATGATCCCGGGATGTAGAGAGATTCAGCGTAATTAAAAAAAAATATGTAAAAACATACTGTAAATAAATGTAACCTGAGAAATAAACAGGAGAAGTCAGCACACGCTGCCGTCTGTACGCGTGTAAATGCGCTGCGTTGCACTGCGGTGCTCAGATGCGTAACCCGAGGCATTCCGCGCCTGCGCACTCGGCCCGCTCTGCGGCGCTCCGGCCGGCCTCGTGCGCCCCCTCGCGTCCGGCGGTGCGGGGCCGAGATGGCGGCGCGGCGGCTGTGGGCGCTTCTGGCTGCGCTGCGGGCGGGGTGGTGCCTGCTGCCGCAGGTCGGCTACCTGCATCCCGACGAGTTCTTCCAGTCGCCCGAGGTCATGGCAGGTAACGCGGCGGGAGGGCGGGAGGGGCCGAGGGACGCTGCTCCCCGAGAGCTGCCGCCGGCAGAGCTCGTGTCCTCACCTGGACACATCCCGTCCCTGCGGCAGCGCTGCCCGAGCGGCGCCGGGAGAGGGTAAGAACGGAGCGCGTGCTGAAGGCTGCCGGCAGCTCGGGGCTCTGGGGACGGCTGTGCAGCGCAGTGCCTCCTGCACCGAGTTGTACCCCGACGCTGAATTACTGAATAAAATAGATACGTTTGCTTTTTCTTTTTCTTTTTTTTTTTTTTCCTTTGTAGGAGACGTTTTAAACCTGCGGGTCTATTATCCCTGGGAATTCCTTTCCAGCTCTCCCTGCAGAACAGCTGTTTTCCCATTGCTGACCTCTGGAGTTGCCTACTGGGTGCTGAGGGCGTTGCAGCAGCTGGATGTGTGCTCGCGTTGTGTCAGCAGCTATACTCTCCTCGTGTCTCCTCGCCTTCTCCTTACGGTCTTTTCTTTTGTACTCGACTACAGTGTGCACCGATTGGCTCCTGCCTGGGGAGCGGATCCGTGGGAAGCACTGCTCCTCCTTGCAGGATCCTACGTCACTTTGGTGTTTTATACCAGAACGTTCACCAACACACTTGAAGGATTTCTCTTTGCACTTCTGCTGGTCTTAGTTTCCTCCAAAAAATCTGATAGCGGCATCACAAAGCCTACACGCAGCCCTCTTATAGGTGTTGTAATAGCTGCAGGGTTTTTCAACAGGCCGACTTTTCTGGCATTTGCACTAATGCCCCTGATCTACTGGGCAGGCTTAAATGCTGACTCTCAAAAGAGCATTAAAACTCTCATAAACCCCTTTTTAAAACTTATCACCTGTGCATGTTTTACTGCCGTTGTTTTCATAACAGCCGACACCATGTACTTTACCTCAGCGGGCTTGGACAGCCTTTTCAGCTTTACAAACAGCAGCCTGTTCGATGTCATAGCTCTGTTAAATCACAGAGTGGTGGTGACCCCTTTCAACTTTCTCTGCTATAATCTTGATTCTCGTAACCTTGCACAGCATGGAAATCACCCACGAGTTACGCATTTTATAGTTAATGGAGTAATGCTCTTTGGGATCTTACACCTTCTGGCCATCACTGCTGGGTTTAAAATGCTAAAGAAATACATCCATCAGTTAATGCGGGTCAGATTGTATTACCGTGGGCCACCCAGGTTATCAGTGCATTCCAAGGGCCAGCCAACGCTGCTGCTGTTTTATTTTGTTCCTTTGGCACTTCTTTCCCTGTTCAGCCACCAAGAGCCTCGATTTCTCATCCCTCTCATTTTGCCATTAGTCCTGTTCAGCGCATCACAGAATAGAGCTGTGAAGTGGAAACCCATCATTATCATTTTTAATGTTCTCGGGGCTTTCCTGTTTGGATGCCTGCACCAGGGGGGACTGATACCATGTTTTTTTCACTTGGAGCACGTCTTGCATTCTTCAGACTCCTCAAACCATCCAAGACACTATACTCTGCTCTTTGCTCACACCTACATGCCTCCTAGGTCCCTGCTAAATATCAAGAAGAAAGACACACATGTAGAAGTGATTGATATGGCTGGGTCTGAAGAGGAAACCCTCTGCCGAATGGTAGAACAGCACGCAAACAATTGTACCTGCAGTGACTGTCACTTTTTGGTTATAATCCCTGGTACAGTCAGAGCCACAATTACCAGATGTGGTGTCTCGCTCAAGAATGAGACTTTGATATTTCCACACTTATCAATGGAAGATCCACCACAAATATCCTTCCTATTCAGTGAAAACTGGAGAAGTCAGTTAGGACTATACATCCTTCAGCTAGGCAGAGCTCAGCAGAGACTTTAGATCTCAGAACGTTTTAGGTTTTCACTTGTGCCCAAATGTGCTGTCAGACCTTCCTCTTCAAAGTCCTGTGCTCAGCACAGGCAGTGCTGTTGTGAGCTCAATTTTCACCCTTTCTTCATGCTCAGCATAGCCATCTCTACCAAGATTTGAATCATTCAGTCCCTGTGGTGTTTCTGAGGAACATGCCTCATTTTCCTGATGAGAGAGGATGAACCCAGAGACCACAGAAACTGATTTGAGCTTTCTTCTTTTCGTATGAGATACACATTAGAAGTTCTTATAATCTCAGATAGAAGGTTTGCAGGCTGTGCTGAAAATGGGCATTTAGTTCATCTGCTGGAGAGAGGTTACTAGACTAGGAGGACTTAATCTGATTCAGTATGGTTTTATCTTCATGCACTTGAAATTTCAGACCCTCCTCTCTGTCCCTATACAGGATATGGACACCGGTGTTAGGATATTGTTTGAAGTATTTTTGTCCTGAAAAATCCCCAGTATTGATGTAACAGAAGCAGATTTACAACATGGAGGATGCTTCAGCACAGGCATTTATGCTAAATCCTATAATTTTGCCTTCCCATAAAGCATTTTGGATGGTAAGTCTCCCCTGTGTGCTCACCATGAACCCCTCCATCTCTCATTGCTGATACCTGCATACTGAGGATGTGTGCTTTTTGGTGGGGTAGCAGCAGAGCAGCTGTACCAATGGCTCACCCAGTGGCAGAAGGAATTACAAAAACATCACGAATGTATACTCTAAGTCAATTCCTTTTTTGCTCTTTTAAGTTGGGACAACAGTATTGTGCCAAAATTTGTATTCTGTGTCCTGCTTACTGTTTTCAGCTATAAAGTTTCATTACTGTTTTGAAACTTATGATCTTATAAACTTATGGTAACTGTTGAACTTATAATCCCTGTACAAATGGGGTAGATCTTGAAACTCTTCCTGGTTGTAACAAAGCACCAGTTTCACAGCATGATGAATTTGTACCACTCACAGGTCACCTGGAGTGGAGCCAGGCAGAGACCCCAGACTACAAATACTCAGACTGAAAATGCACTGCTTCTGTCTCATCAGATGGACTTTTATTGAGTACATCATAGATTCAGTTTTTCCAGTTTAATTTTACCAGCAGCACTGGAAGCAACGTGTCTTGCCCAAGGAGGTTGTGGATGCCCCATCCCTGGATGCATTCAAGGCCAGGCAGGATGTGGCTCTGAGCAGCCTGGTCTGGTGGTTGGCAACCCTGCACATAGCAGGGGTTTCAAACTAGATGATCACTGTGGTCCTTTTCAACCTATGACATTCTATGATTCTGTCTCACAGTTAGGGAGGGTTTTTCACCTGCAGTGATACCAACTATAGCAATCTCCCTCCCAGGTTACCCCAGCATGCAGTCAGCTGCACCCAGAGTTATGTGGCAAAGCTATTTAAGTCTCGTGGATGTTCATACAATACTGAAAGCAAAGCAGCCCAGCGTACCAGGACGACGGATACATTTCTTCCATTCTACCCATCATCATCAACATCACTAGAGCTCTCTTTGTCTCAATGCTGCCATACAAACACAGGCTACGCAGACTACCGCTGCTGCACGGATAGGAATCGTTACAGGACCTCCGGAGAGAAATGGCTTTATTTGAGGTTTCACATCACGCAGCGACAATCTTCACAGTATTCAGGACGACGCTCGATGTAAGCCTGCCCGCCGCCTGTAGCTGAGCGCCGTGCACAGTGCGAAGTGATGGTGACACGGTGACCGTCCGCACCGCAGCGCTCCGTAGCCGCCTCCGTGCCGCCCGGTGCCATCGCCGCGCTCACCGCCGAACCGTCTCCACGGGGCCTCCGCGGGGCCTCCTCCCGCCGCTCAGGGCCGGCCGCTCCGTCCCGGTCCCCGTCCCGGTCCCGATCCCCTCCCGGGGGATTCCGGCCAGCCCCGCGGCCGGCCGCCGTCCTTCAGCCGCTCCAGGAAGGCGTCCCGCAGGCGGGTCAGGCCGGGCCGCAGGTCCCTCGCCGCCTGGCGGGCGCCCAGCTGCCCTCGGGTGATGGCGCTGGCGGTGAGGCGGGCGGCGGCGCGGATGGGCCGCGACTCGGAGAGCTTCTCGATGAGGTGCGGGTTGCTGAGCAGCGCCAGCAGCAGCCGCCGCAGCGCCATCCCGCGCGCCGCTCCCGCGAGAGTCGCCGCGAGCCGAAAGTTCTCGCGAGAGCGGCGCCGAGCGGGAGGGACCGGTTCTCGCGAGAGCGGCGCCGCGTCCCGCCATTGGTGGCGGAATCGGTGGCGCCGTGTTGCGCGGCTGCGGTGCGGGCCGGCAGCATGTGCTCGGGCGGCACGCTGAGCATCCTGCGCAGCGACTCCTACGTGGACCTCAGCCAGTACCGCGACCAGCACTTCCGGGTAAGGGCCGCGGGGGTCTCGGTCTCGGTCTCGGTCTCGGTCTCGGTCCCTGTCCCGGTCCGTGTGCCGCCGGCGCCGGGTAACGCTGTGGTTCCGCTTAGGGCACGCGGTACGACCAGGAGCGGCTGCTGAGGAAGAGCTGCACGCTGTACGTGGGGAACCTCTCGTTCTACACCACGGAGGAGCAGATCCACGAGCTGTTCGGCAAGAGCGGCGACATCAAGAAGATCATTATGGGGCTGGACAAGGTGAAGAAAACCGCCTGCGGCTTCTGCTTCGTCGAGTATCCTTCTGCCGGCCGCGATCTGGCGCTGGGTTTGGGCAGGAAAAGCGTCCTCTGAGCGCCAGAGTAAAAACGGGCTTTTGTTGGTATCGTGCTTCCCTGCCATGCACGGCCTCTGCGTGTCCGGGTGTTGTTCTGCTATCGCTCTGTGTTCTCTCTGAGCTCTCAGGCCTGGCAGATCTGTGCACGGTTTTCTTTAACAAATTCCTGAGGTATTATGCAAGAGGAGATGCTGAGAACGCAATGCGGTACATCAATGGGACCAGGCTTGACGACAGGATCATCAGGACTGACTGGGATGCAGGATTTAAGGAGGGCCGGCAGTACGGCCGGGGGAGGTCAGGGGGCCAGGTAGGTTGTCTGCTTTCTGAGGGGCTGGTGACTGTCAGCTTATTGCTTTTTGAATGGACACACCCAGAACAGCTTAAGAAACAGCAACTTCAGAGGTGTTGAAGATCATAATATACATTAATCCCTAAGTGTTTTATCAGTGGTGTCACCTGCTGAGAATAAGTGATTTTTTTACATATTTCACTGAAGGTATTTTCAGAAGCCTGATGATTGTTTGGGGAGGTAATTAATATAAATAAACCCAGGAAATGTAAAACTGACAAAAACACAAAAGATAACACTCAACTTACCAAAAGTCAGGCAGATAGCAGATGGTTTTACTGCTGAAAAATGAGACAAAGTGATGATGGCCAGTCTATCTTGATTGTTAGTGCCCAAAAGGACCATTTAACAGGAAAGCTATTTGACCTGGCATTCTGGGCTTGTGCATGATGCTCTTTACCTTCTCTTTTGTCAGACAACTTTTGTGCAGACTCAGTTTGACTATACAGTCTGTTGATGTAGAAGCTCTTGCTAAAATACCTTTCTGTATACATTTACCAAACTTTTTTTTTTCTCCTTTGTAAGGTCAGAGATGAGTATCGGCAAGACTATGATGCTGGAAGAGGTGGCTATGGTAAAACTGTTCAATGCCAGTGAATAGTGAATGAGTCACCAGCCTCACAGGAGAACTAAATGCCAATTGTAAATGTTTTGAGGTGCAGAGTAGATCTTTTGCACACAAGTTCATGTAAATAGAAATTTACAGGAGCTACTATCAGTGTTCCTGTAATCACTAGTATATTCTATTTCTCTTCTGTTTTAATACCAGGATGCAAAGCATTGCCAAGTACACTAGTACACAGGACCTGGGAGCAAGGTTTTAAGCAATAGTATGCATGAGACTTTGGTCTCAGAATGCTGCTACAAATCTACTGAAATAATCAAAGGTTTAACAGAATGGTGCTTCTTTCTTTCTCTGGCAAAAACTTGATTATTCTGTCACTGAATTTTGTTTATGTTAGTATCACAAAACAGAGGGGGGGTCTTAAAGGTAGATTTGTGTATGGTTCAGAGACTGAAGGAAAAGTCAAAGTGCCCAAAATGGAAATGAAATTCCAATTTCCAGAGTAGTCTTAAAGTTGTAGACTTTGAGTTTGGTGAATTAACAGCCTTTTACATTGATGCTTTTCCTTTCTGAGTTAGCACACATCTATGAAGGGCACAATAAAGTAAGCCAGATTGAGCCCAGGAATCATAAAATGAGAAGCAAACCTAGCAGATAGGAAAAATCAGACCTCCAGTATTCTTCAGAGTATACTGCTGTTGTATGACATTGTATGGTTCAGAACCATCTTGCTTTGTGAGGTATGGAGTGCAGGAATTACAGTTCTAGTTATTTTCATGGTTGGAGTAGTACTCTTTTACTCCAGTCTGGTAGAGCTCCATAGCCTTAATATTTGAGGAACAGTATCTTCCCTGTGTCTGCAAGGATAGTATGGAGCCAAGCTTTGCAGTTAATCCCTTTCCTGCTCCTTCCTTGCCCTCGTCAAAATCTATATGAGGAATTATCTGTATAGTGAGAAAGTTTGTTTTCAAAATAGATTTTCTGTTTGAGAAACCTGATGGCAAATAAAGTTAAAAGTAATTTTAAAAGATTAGCTTTGGAGAAGCTTTACTTTATATGGAGTATGTGGTAAGACTGGTAAAAGAATTGTGGAACTCTTTTTGCATTTTTTCTTTCCTCTGGATCTTAGGACAAGGGGGGGGGATATGTTAGGCAAAAGTTCCATACTCAGAGGTGCTGAGGCAGTGGCCCAAGCTGTCCAGAGAGCTGTGGGTGCCCCCTCCCTATAGGTGTGCAAGGCTGGGCTGGATGGGGCCCTGGACAGCCTGAATTGGTTGGGGGCCACAATGCCACCAGACTGACTTCCAAACCCAAGCCATTCTGTCATACTGTGATTAATACTGCCAGTTAACGTGATGGGATATTGTTGTAATACTGCATCAGGAAAAAAAAAAATTGTGAAATGAACTGCTGAAATGAACTGGGTTTTGAAGAAATTGTTAAAGGCTGTGGATTTTTTTTTTTCCTTCTGGATGGACTTCTGAGTTCTTTGGAAACTGCAATTCATAAAGTTTTGTCCAAATACCTTGACTTCCCAAAGGTCTTTATAATCTTAAGTATGTAAAATTTGACCTTTATTCATGGAATATAATATTGGAAATCTTGATATGTTTCTAGTATAGAGTTAGTCACAACTGTTACTGTACACTGGAAGTACAGAACTGCAGTAAGATGCCTTTCCCATTAAGTGAGGTTGAGGGGGGCCTTTTGATTTTTTTTTTCTTGTTTTACTTTTTTCCTGGCACATAGAGTAAAGCTGGATTTTCAGGATCACTTGATGCTGATCTGAAAACAAGACGTTGAGCAGATTATCTTTTTCTGTGTAGAAAAATCATTTAATTATGAGCTTGCAGCTTGTGATCTGTTGTAGGAAACCTCTGAAGTTTATTTTTTGCAGTGCCAATTTTATATAAAAGTCTGTATTATCAAAACTTGAGGTCACTTTCAAATAAAGCTGCAACACTAAAATGTTTCTTTTTCTCCAATGATTCTGTTTAAAAAATAAATAAAAATAGAGATTATCTGCATTCGATAGTCCTGCCGAGAAGGACTTAGGGCTCCTGGTAGATTAAATCTGGACACGAGGCAGCAGTGTGTGTTTCGGCCTGGAGCGCCGTTTCCTGGCTGCAGATCAGCAGACAAAGACTGGTTCTGTTTGGTGTTGTGTTTAATGGTAAGTATTTGAAATGGTGACAGAGATATGAGGTAAGGCTCTCAAAAAATATTCACATCTATTAATATTGTAACAATAACGTCGTGAATTGTACAGCTACAGCCTCAAAATGAGAAGCCACTAGTAACTATAGAAAAACACCTGTGCATGTGATACTGTAAGGCAAATTCTTGTTTTAATCAATGGGTCTGTTCAGATCAGGTCAGTATTCTTTAGGAGTTAGGTCCTGTCTAGTAAAAAGATGCTATACATGTAACTGGTTTACTGAATGCATCATAGTGCAGTTCTAGCTGTGGTTGGTGTGTAAAGGGGCAGCACTCTTAGTGCTTCCATTTTTTTTGAACAAACTGGGTAAACCAGCTATGCTGTGCATCTGTCTGCACTGCACTGAATAGCACAGGGAGAGGTTTTAGAACTTTTCAAGTTGTCCTTTTAAGAAAAGCTGGGACTTGCCTTCAGGAGGGGTTCCTGATCCTCTCTTGTTCTTCCCATTGAATGGGAAGCAGGCTGGTTGGAGGTGACTTGCTTTACTAATGACCCATTTCTTATGAGATGAGGAGTTATAATTAAATGATTTTATGTTTTTGGGGTTGTTTTGTTTGTTTGTTTGTTTGCTTTTTGTTTTTTTAGTTATTAGTATGATGATGACCAGCTTTCAATTTCTTTTAACACAGGAAGAACAACTTTGAAAAAAATAATAAAAACTGAAAGGTTTTTTACTGTGAGGTTTTCTATTTTTCAGTGGGATTTTAAAACACATGGATATACATAAAGTCTTAGTGTCTCAAAAGGGGTTGTAGAGGAAACTGCTTGAGCCCAGTTTGATTTTAACATTCTCTAATAGTAGTCCGGCATGGCTCTGCTGAAGCAAGAGCTGTACCAAAGCAGCTGCCAATTCTGTGGCCACTTACAGCATGAAGAGTGTATGTCTGCATAAAGTTAGGGCTGAGTGCTTCAGGGACCAAAGTTTCGTGTGTGGTGTGTCGTTATAAAGGTAAGCCATGATGGTCCAGTTTACAAGACGTGATTTGAGAGGAACACGGAGTTTTTCCTTGTCACCTGCCTACATTATTTACTCTCAGCTTGGCCTGGAGAGGTCTTGAGCGGGTCCTGCTTAACGTTGCAGACAGTAGCACATTATCCCATAAGGGTTGGGCAGATTTCCAGTGTTCCACACTAATTTCTGGGTGAATGAAACTAGGACAGGAGAACATGTGAAAATACGAGATTTATGTACTAATACTACATAACTTAACCCAATGCCTACACCAAAAAGACAGCAAAGCTTTGATGTGTCCTGGTCAGATGAAGATGGTTACAGAAGAAAGAGAGTTTGCTGACCTCCTTCAGAAGCTACATTCTAAAAGCAGAAGTGTGTTCTCGTGTATTGGTTCCATATTTTATGGTGATGATCTGCCCCTGCTCTGCTTCCCAGCCTGCTACCAGAGGCAGAGGTGTGCTTTACCTCAGTGGGATATCACTCTTCAGTTTTATTTCAGCTTCTGATGAGAGATTGAGCATCTGTTATGGTCATCTACAAGGGAGGAGGAGAACAAGTTGACACGAGTATCCAAACCCTTCTTTGCAGCACTCACTAACTGGCATATTTAGGTCTGATGCAAACCTTTCCCTTCCACAAAGCCGTGGCATTTGAGCTTCAGACACAAGGAGCAGCTGGGAAGTGCCAGCTGGCTCCCTCTCCTGACTGCAAGGCGGTGTGTCTGCTTTCTGAACCAGCACAGCCTGCTGCTGGCAGCAGCTCAATGCAGCATGCGGGTGCGTGGTACAGGCTCACAGCTTTGCTTTTTTGTGTGTTGTAAAAATGAACCAAAGAAATCCAAAACCCACCCTAATTCTATTCTGCATGTGTAGTAAGAAACTGAAATACCGCTGGGGAGGAAAGAGTGTGTGTTAAGTGTTACTCAGGGAACAGCTGGGAGCATCACCTTTCTGCACTGCCCTGAGGGTGAGTGTTGTCAGGTATAAGACTATAGCTTAAGAGCTTGTGTTGTTTTTAATGTTATTTTCATTAGAGCTATCTTTGACCCATTAGTCAGAGTGGGCTGTTACAGATTCCTCTGGAATGGGCATTTCTCTGTAAGGATGGTGTTGGATCACAATTTACCTCAGCTGTGATTAAAAGATGTTTTTCTCTCAATGCGATTTGAGGACAAATGGGAAATAAAATTTGCCATTTTTACATTTATCCAATTACATGTAACATAAGCATCAGCATAAATTAGTCAGATGCAGCCAGCTTACAATTAAGTTTCTGGATAATGAAACTTCCACTTTCTGCACCCACCTTTCCCTGCAAGGCAGTGGTTTGAAAAGAGATGCAGTTTTTGTTCTCACAGTAGATAAGAACGTGTTAGATATAAAAGTGCACTTGTCTTTAGATCTGTAGCTCACACGTAGTTTGAATTGCATCAAGCTGAACTTGTGTCAGCTTTCTGGCTTCCTACTAGTTGGAAATAGCGATCTTATTCCTTCGTACTTCGTAGTGTTATGTTTCTGGAATGGCTAATTTTTCTGAATTAAACGCTTGTCTGTTTACCTTAATTATAAATCACTGCCTTTTCGTTGTGCAGTTGGGTGTTTGTTTTTGATTGCTGTTGATGAGAACGAGCTGGAGCGCGGTCAGCATGTCGTGCTGCCACAAGGTGTCATGAGAAGCCGTGTCTGACTGCAGGACTCACACACTGCATCCCTGGCACTCAGCGAGGCTGAGCTGTGCTGATGGAGCAATGTGCTCTGGGGGCGTATCGCTTTGCCATGCTGCTCCTTGAAGAAATGCTTTTTTGTGTTATTTTTGCATTGAAACGAACGTCTGCTGACTGAATTGCTTCCGAACACACTCTAAAGTGGCAGAAGTGAATGTGTGCTGACAGTGCTGAGGTGTAGCGTAATGCTGAGCACCATAGGGTGGAGGTGTTCTTTCTGTATGTTGTAACCAAGATTTTGCAAACTGCCAGAGGGTGGTTTTGGTGTTTGTTTTTTTTTTCCATCCTCTGGTATGTATACTTTGGAAGGAAAAGGAATGTGTTTCCAGGAACTGGGAACGGCTTTTGCCCATTAAATCCCAGAATGTCCTAATCTGTTCCCCCTTGCTTTTGGTTTTAAATTCCCAGCTGAATCTCCTCTTTGAAATGTCCACGTTATCTTGGTCAAACCTCTGAGCAGCAGCCTTGCAATGTTCCAGACTGCATAGCAGCAAGGACTTGTTTGCTGCTGCCTACCCTTGATAGAGGGAAACTGGGTGGAGACTCTGTAAGCTGCCATGGTCTCATACACGTACTCTAAGTCATGGCAGGCTTTTTGGTGAATTGATTTGTTTGCAGACCTGTCAGGAACTCAGTTTTCTCTCCCATTTTGTTCAGTGAGATCTGCTTGCATAATGTTTAAGCGCTGAATGTGGTTTAATGAGCTTTATCAAACTTATTTCTCTGTCAGGTAAACACAAAACACACAGAGGATATGGGGCTTACTTAAAAAATGTTGTGCTTGATCTTGGGGATAAGAGCAGGTCTCAACCAAAAGACGTTTGTTCTTTTTGTACCACCCTCTTCAGTAAGCCTTGCTGCCTGTGACTGCTGGCTGGGTGCTCAATGCATTTCATTTCAGGGCTTTGCACCAAATACCTTTACACCTAAAGATATCAGGAGAGGGACTGGTTACTAAATTTGTGCATCGCTATATTGTTACCCAGGTACAATCAAAGGGAATCTTAGGATCTGCCAGCAGCAGTAAGAACACAGGTAGCTGTAACGAAGCCGAAAGGCACCGTAATCATTGCGTTTCTCTGGAGGAAATGCTGCCAGATCTGTGCTACAGTTTCTTCTCTGTGAGAAGTTGGTTTCTTTTTAGAGTTTTAACAGATGGAGTTGGGCAGGGAGGGAGGGTGATGCTTTGCCAACGTAAATATTCACAAGTGAAAAGATTCCTCTTCATGTGATTTCAGGGTAATCTTGGAAAAGAATGATGTGTTCAGTTTGTATCGTATTTACATTGAATATCCATGTCATCAGTGTGGTTCTCCTTGAAGATAAAAGGCTGGGTTCTCAGGCAGCTTTATGGATTTTGGATGAGAATATTGAATGAGGTCAGTGTAACTCCAAATTGCAGTAGAACACATCTACCCATATGAATATGAACCAAAAATATCTTAAGGCTGTGTGGCTGGCTACTGAAGTCCAAGAACTATGTGCTAAAGATCTGAGGAACAGATGGGTAAATTAACACATATGTCCCATTTTGGGAATATGTTCCCCACTTGTTCTCCTTTCAGCACATGGGGCAATAGGGACTCGAACCTTTCTAGAATAGAAGCATTTGTTTTGTGGGTGAGCAACTGCGGAGTCCAGCAGCAGCAGATCCTCATCCTCATTTCTGTATCGGCATGTGCTGTAACTCATACCGCTTTTAGTGCCAGCTGAGAGAATCTTCACCTGTGTTTATGATGACCACATCAGGACTGAATCGGTTTCTCACAGCCTTTGGTTGCAAGTGAAGTGCTGTTAGAGTCAGGTCTGAAAATACTCTTGTCAGAGTAGTGAGTATTCTAAAATATGAATAAATGGATGAAGAACGTGTGTGGATTATGTACCTGGTGACTGTACTTGTTCAGCCCCATTTTGGTCTGGCATGTCCTCCATGTGATCGCATTGTCGAAAACCAAAAGCATTGCTAGAGGAATAACAAACTTCAGAGAAGCTCTGTTATGTTGTCTCTATCATTTTACAGCTCTTGGGGAAAAAAAAACTTTAAATCAGCTTTAATGTGGATTATTCTAAAACTTCTTCAGACAGATGAGTGATCTCATCATCTTTACATTTATGAACAGGTATTTCTGTGAGCAACCTAATAATATTTCAGGTGAGCATCATGCAGTGGTATTCCAAGAAGATTGTATTTCTCATTTTGAACTGTTTTGGGTATGGCCAAAGATGCAGTCAGGATGAGGGACTCTGTGAGCAGCCCAAGGTTTGTTAGTGCTTAGTGCCACTGTCGAGAATGAGCCTTAAGGCTCCAGAAAGTGCTACAGATACTGGAGAGTGAGAAAGTGAACCAGATGTTCACATAACTCTTCAAGCTTCCAACAGCTTTATGAGAAATGGCTGTGGCTGATATGCCAGGAGAATTCCTGAAAGGGAATGTGGGAGCAGTATTGACTGCTGAATTATCTCAAAGCAAGCCAGGGAGGCTGAGCAAAACAGCTCCACAGAAAGTAGGAGAGATTCAGTGTCCCTCAGGGTAAGTATCCAAGATCAGCTGCAAGACAGTATTTATCTCAGCATCCCAGGTGTGAGGGCCAACAAACATTAGTCAGTGTACGAAGGCTGGCAGAGGAAGGCCTGGCTTCAGAAGGGTGCGCAAGGCTCGCAGGGTGCAAAACAGGAAGACATCGGCTGATCTGTGCTGACCCAGTAACACGGTCTGCAGGGCACGAGGTGGTACCAGGGTAAAGTTAGTAAGCAGGAACTGGTTCTGTAGCATGAAGAAGTACATGAAGTTCCTCAATTGTCTAAATTTTTTTGATTTAGAAAGTGTCATGCAAATTTAGTTTGTGCTAAGAACCTTGAAGATACATATATATATTCTTTTCTAGACATTCTTAGTATGTTTCCACAAGTGTTGTCTGTGACAGTATAGCTTACAATGGAGATGTGAACCCGAAACCGCAAAGAAATCGCAGTGACAAAAGCTAGAAATAAAACATTCTCTATTCAGTTTTCCTTTTATAAGGAGGAATACATATTCCACAGTTATAAAGGCTATATTGTTGCTTTTCAAATAGGATTCAAAGACATGGACTAAAATATGTCATTAGGAATTCTAGTTCCATTGGAGTAGGAACTGTTCTATTTGTGATCCCTAAAGAAAGCCTTTGGGTCATGAACAGCAGTTCCATTTGTAGCAGGAAAATGTAAGAATCGTTTTTGTGAAAGTCAGTACAAAATGAGCCTGCTGCTCCTGCGCTGTGCCGGTCGCTGAGGAGGGGTCGTGGGGAAGGGGTAGAAGGATCTCAGTTTGGGATCGCAGTGGTGAGAAAGCGACTGCTCTGGTAAGTGACCGTGCAATTTATACGGTCAGAAAAACACCAGTGCTGCATCACAGGATATTTGTCTCTTCAGTTCTGTTTGTTATTTTAAAATTTACCAGCTTTGCTTGATTTTGAAGCGGTTTGACTACGGATGAGCACTGGGAGGAGTGGAGGTGCTCTGAGCTGGTTCGCTCCTGGCCAGGGCCTGGCTGCTGGCTGTGTTGTGGGGCTGTGCTCCGTGGCCTGATTCATATTGGCAGCAGCTCAGGGATCTATGGGATAACGGCCACTGCTCCCAAGCTTTTCTCCTTTTTCCTTCATTGCAGTCTTTATGCCAGTTCTTATAGCTTATGTTATCAGTGTGCTGAAGAGAAACATGAATTTTTTTTTTCTTCCCCATGAAGCCAGGAAATTGGGAGTTGATTTTATATTAAAGCAATGTGATTCATACTTTTCTTGAGGAACGCCAGAGTTAAGTGTTTTAGGCCTTTTGCTAAATACAGAAATGAAACATTTCCATGTGTGCCAAGAAGCTGGGGTGCTTTGTTCAGTAACCTTTGAAGGAAAAGTTTTATATATTTTGAGATATTTCCTTGTCTCAAAATACGTTTCCGTATTTCCCAGAGACACAACCCCACTCTCCAAAGCAACATTTGGCAGTTCCCTCTGCTCCCATTTTAAAAAACCCATGCAGGCAGCTGTAGCACAGCTGTAGGGGTGCAGTGGGGAGCACAGAGAGAACCTGCTGCCCTGCACAGCCCACCTTTGGCCTGGGGATGGTTCAAAGTGAGGCCACGTGTCAGCAAAGCAGTGTTCAGAGCAGGCTGAACTGAGAGCATAGGCTTAACTTCTAGTGCAGCGTTCGAGGCACTTGAGTCTGAATCATTAAGAAGTACCTGGAAGGAGGTTGTGGCGAGGTGGGGGTTGGCCTCTTCTCCCAGGTAACAACAGTAGGATGAAAAGTGATGGCCTCAAGTTGCACCAGGAGAGGTTCAGGTTGGCTGTTAGGAAAGTCTCCGAAAGAGAGGTGAGACTCTGACACAGACTGCCCAGGGAGGTGGTGGGGTCACCATCCCTGGAAATATTCAAGGAGAGGGCCGATGCTGTGCTTAGGGACATGGGATGGGGGGGTGGGTTGATAGCTGGACTGGATGATCTGCTCTGGTGGGATGTTCCCTCTGCCTGTGGCCTGTTCTCTGATACTGCTGCTGTGAGAGATGGCACGTGGGCAGTGCATTGTCTTCAAAACATTTCATCAGTTCTTAATCTCTTCTAAAATTTGGAGCACTGAAATTCATTGACTTCGAATGTATTGTGCTGAATGGTAGCTTAATATGAGAAAGATGGCAAGTTTGTGATGCATTTATTAACCAAGAGATCAGAATGTTCCTTTTCTAGTTATCTAATGAAAGGAGCAACCTTAAACGAAAAGGGAAAGCTCTTCATCTTCACCCTTAGCTGACCTGCATCAGGCAGAGAAGACAGGAATGAGTTCCATGGGATCACAGGACCTGTCAACAAAACTCTCCTTTCCTGAAAAATTTCTCATTCCCTTAGCCTTCAGTAGGTGGCATATGAGGGCTGAGGGGTTCATCTGTGTTCTTTCAAGACTTTTTTCTTAAACTTAAGTACAGCTAAAAATATTTTAAATGCTGCAAAATTGCACTGTGTTTTTACAGTGTTCACCGCAAAGATTCATCCTGAAATGCAGAAAGAAAAACTGAAAACAGAGGTTTTTTGTGAGGGTTCTGTTTATGTTTTTGCACTAGTGGAATATTCACTGCTCTTGTACAGATCAGTTTGGTTTTAGAAAGCAAGAAAAGATTCAGATTGGATAACACTGGAAAATGGGTGAGGGTTGGCAGGGGGGTTGGACTCGATGATCTCTGGAGGTCCCTTCCAACCCCTACAATTCTGTGATTCTGTGATTTTCTTTAGAATTATTGAAAAAATGTCAAAATTCACCTCTGTGACTCATGCAGCATGTTTTTGTTTTTTCTCCTATATTTCTTTTGTTTCTCTGAAAGAATAATATCAAAACAGGAATTGGCTCAGAGTATCTATGATGACATCTTTGAAAATCAGTTTTGCAAGTGATTTTGTATGCTTTTTGAAAGTGCTGAAATCTGAAGCTTGATTACTTGTTGTTTCCCCTCTGTTTTCTTTCAGTGCCTGTATCCCAGCAGCTTACGTGCTGGCAGAATGTCCTTTTGGGCTTAAATTTCTCCCTGTATGCTCTTCCTGTCCTAAGCTGCATGGATCATATATGACAGATCACATTTAATTGCTGTTCTTTTCTGCATGTCTGTAATTTGACCAGAGGTGCCTGTGGTGAAGGCACAGCAGCCTTACGTACTGCTGCCTTGTTGCAGCCTGGCTCTGTGAGCATCAGCACTAACGTGTGCCACATCCTGCCTCGTCATGGGTTTGAGCTCACTGGGGTAGCCCTGGAGCTGCTGGGGGCAATGGCTGACACCTCGTCTGTGTTGCCTGTGGTGTGTTTGGTTGCTTGACATCTTCCTAGGGATGAATGGTGCTGAGCATCAGCAATTCACTCTGCAGTCAGCATAAGGCCTTTGGCGTTTGCCAAAATTATACAGTTGTAGCCTGGGTAATCCCTGGGTGAATATTGCTTGGTTAAAATTAGCCAAAAGATGTTGTACTCTAAGGAAAATATTTTCCTGACCTTCATGAGATGTTTGGCTCTGGTCAGCACGTTCTGCTTGCACTATTATTGGTAACGCTGATTATTTTCCCCCCTACTTCTATTGCAAAATAGAATGACATGTCTTTTCACTGGTGAGTGCTACTTTTGCATGTGGGTTCTATTTCATCACTGGTCCACAGCAGATGGACCAGCTGTGCATGCAAGGAGTGGGGCTGGGCCGATTGGAGTGGGCTGCTGAATGAGGCATGCGTTTCACGTCCTTTTTTGAGCGCATCAGATAGGGAAATGCCAAAAAAACAGTGCTAATTGCCAGAGTGCCAATGGACGGAAGAAATCTTTGTTCAAAGCCTCCAGCAGCAGGGAGATAGGGCAGGTCCTGTCCTGGCAAAAGATTTTTCTCCATCTTTCTGCAGAGCGTGTCCCGTAGCAGCCAAATTCTAAACAGCACTGGTAAATGCCAAACACCTTTTGTGCAGCTGTGTGAAAAAGCTGCTCAGGGGAACTATTTATCACTCTCAGCCATTTTGACCCAACCAGACCCACGTTACTTGTATAGGAAGTGGATCAGGAAGGGATAATTTTTTACAGCTTCTTTTGAAAAAGTAAGTTGCTCATTCATCATCAAACTAATTCTCACGGCTGTTTGTAATTCTGCTAATGGCAGTGGAAACGTGTGGGGCCCCCGGATGTAATAGCAGGACATTTGACAAACGCTACTGTTGTGAGTGTGAGAGCCTTACATAGAGTAGCTCATAGCTCTGCTTGCTCAGTTGTTAGAACTGCTATTAACTGTGAGCTTCAGCACTGAGCTCAGATGGGACTGTCCAGGACCTTGGATCTGCAGTGATGGGGCAGATTGAGGTGGTTTTTGAGACAGTTCCCAAGAACATATCTCAGATATCTTCCTTTTGAAAGTATATAATAAGAATTTTTCCTTGCCACTGTCGCCATGAAGGCAAAGTTTGGATGAAATTGTATTTATGTAAATCACCTAGATGTTTTCATTATGCTTAGTGCTCAGGCTGTGTAAGTCCTAATGCTCTGCCCATCTGCTCTGTGTAAAGATCATTTTAATCATTCAAGCAACCTTTATCTTAAGTTCCTTAAGCTTCTTGTGCAGATTATTACAGAGATGAAACTGGTCAGCTCCCCCCAGGACGTGTCTGGTGTCCCATATCCATCTTCACTATTAATGCTTCATTTAACGTGAGTCTTCTGTGCCTTATTCATTACTAAGATAAGCATTTAATAAAGGGATTTTGTCTCTTCTCTGATAGGTCTCAAGTTTCCTTCATAATAAGGGAAGGTAAAATCATCTTGTTGCGAGTTTTAAATGCATCACCTCACTTGAAAGGTAAATTAATCTCCTGGATCAGAGCATATGGTCATATTGACCTAACTGAGCTGCAGCAGGGAAGAATCTGGCCCACAGATGCTTTAAAAACAAGACAAAAAGGTATTGTCACACACTTCCTTTCAACTAGAACTTAGATTGCATTATAGTTGTTCACCCAGTGGAGAATAAATTTACTGATTCTTTCAGCTAGTTGCAACCGTATTCCTTTTTCTGATTTGCAGACTTCACGTATTAACTCAGATGTAAGGCATTTTCACTTTTTCTCGTTACCATGGATGAATCCTAACAGCTTGAAATAAGGTATTAGAATTTCACTTGTCTGTGAAAAGACTGCAAACACTGACCACATGGAGCTGAAGAGCAATTTTGAGCAAGTTTTAGGTTAATGAGCTTAAACTGATTCTGATATCAGCTCAGGAATGAAAAAGGAGGAATGTTTCAGGATCCATTCCATTTATTTTATAATCCATATTATTAAAATATTAAACTTGTAATAGAAACTGTATCAGTTTCTGTACTGTATTCAGGGGTATCTTTCACTTCAGGAATGCTACTGTTCTGAACTGAACAAAAGGGACAAATTTGGGAAAGTTTGCATAGTTTGTGAGAAGAAGGAGTGCCAGAGGAAAGGGAGAACAGAAGGTGAAGTGAGAAATGGGGAAATCATGATTTTAACAGGCAGAAACAAATATGTACTACATTTGCCAGAATAAATAATAAGAATCCAAGTGAGAGATCCCACCTAATGGTTATAGGAGGAAGTCAGTAGCTGCCACACTCCTTGGAGGACAGACATTAATAGCCCACTAGTCTTCACCATCTGATTTTGTGAGAGAATTAATATATTCCTTCCTGTATGTGTGCAAAAGACTCACTTTTGCACTTTGGCAAAAGTGAAGCCAAAGTCTTTTCTCTCTCTTTTTTTTTTTTTTTTGCTGAGAAAGCCATTCTTTTAAAAATGTCAAAATATGAAGGATTATTTTGCTTATGCATTTCATCCAGTCACTGGAGAAATTCTTCTAGCACTCTATATGTTGTTAACATTCCATTAGCAATTGGCAATGAAATACCTAGGTAATTCCATATGAAGATTAAAGAAGAGACAAAGCTGGTAAGGAGAAGTGATTTAAAATTTGAACTTAAAAATGTGGATCTCAGAAAAGCAGGTGTTTGGGCATGCTTATTTTTCCAGCAAGTCTTGTCTGCCATCCCCCCTCCCTAATTATATTAGTTGTCTTAACAAAAAAGTAGAATTTATCTTGGAAGACTTTCAGATTATTGACCTATTATGGACTAAGGATATGGCCAAGCATTAAGTAAAGCAAAAAATAAAAAAATATTGAACATACAGAGAAAGGTATCTTTGAATAACTTTAATAGTTTCTAGAATTTCCTTTAATACAAGTGATCAAGGACATAACTGGCAATGTATTTAACAGCAAGCAGAGTCTCCTCACAGGTTGGCTTTATCTGAGACTCAGGCAGAAGAAACCCATAATTACCAGTGTCACGGAGCTCAAAAGTGAAAGAGTACTTGATGCCTTGATCATAAGCCCAGTCATCAGAGCCTCCTGCAGCAGGGTCTGATAAAGAAATAAAACATGACTGTAAAAGTGGAAACGACAAACTGTAGAACCAGAAATACAGAACAAACAGTTAAAAAAAGGATATATAGTGAATCAATTGATTTCTTCTTCTGGTGGAAAGGCATTCGTGACTTATGCAATTACTGAGATCCATTTCAGGTTGGCATACTTAGGCCAGTACTTACAGATTGTTGTAGCTCCTGGACCGTATACGTATTTGGTGTTGTACAAACTGGTCAGTTTTTCGGTTGCAACACTAGCAATGGTGTTCTGTAGGGAAAGAGCAAATATAAATGCAGATTTCCAGAAGCATTCTGGATGAATCTCAGCAAATTTGTTGAGCAAACTGCAAAGCTGTGCTTGAGAAGGTAAACTGTTTTCCACCTCTCAGAATGATTAGGTGCAAGTAGTTGCCAGTACATGCCCTGTCAGTAAAAAGCTTACTCTCCAAGCTTCGGTGGTGCATAGTCTGCCTGTGTAGAGCTGCCTTAGCGTATAGCTGGTGCATAGTCCCATATAGCTTGGGGCAATAGCAAACAGCATTTTTTATGCTTAAAAGAAACCTGTTGAAGACTTAAAATAAATAAGGAATCCCTGTGAAGAGTAATAACTTGGTACAGTAGACTGGGAACACAGTACCCTTCCTTTTCGTTCTGTTCATGCAGCATTTAAATTCAGAGTAGTGCCAGTTTAGTTGGACACCGCTGGAAGTGGAAGCAGTATAATAAATGTTAATAGACAGAAAAGGCATAAATTACCTCAGAACCATATGTAGTCTCATTAATTTCATTTCATTTCCTGTGCTCGGAGGGACTCGTTCAACTCCCACTGATTTCAGTGAGGGCTGGATCAGGCCCATCAGTACTACCATGAAGCTTTGTATGTTTGCATTAAGGAAAATTACAGACTTTGGAATGTGTGACTTTTCCACTTCTTCTTTATACAGCATGTTGGTAATAAAACATGAAAACTATTACTAACAGATGATAAATGTGAACAATTTTTGAAAGCAGATGTTCAGTATAAGAGTAAGTGATGGGTTGCCTTATCTTTGTTTATAGCTTACAGCTGAATGCTCACTATCCCAAGAATCTCCTCAAGCCCCTTCTTTCTCTATAGGTTGTACTCTGGCTTATTTCCAAAAGGAAGAGAGATTGTAAAATATTCTGTTTACCCTCGTGCTTTAAGTGTTTCTGTGAATTACTGAAAAATGCATATTGGACCATGTGTTTTGAGAAATCTGAGTTTAGCAAGAGAGCTTCTGCAGAACATCATCAAAATTTGTTTGCATTAATGCTGGTAACCTAATACAGGACTGCAAGGGTTTCCCCACTCGTAAGTGCTGGATTTTGATTCAGAGCAGCAGGGGTAGCTGAGCTCTCTCTGGCATTTGCTAGCAATACCCTAGGTTTTTTTGGTGTTGGTTTTTTTTTTTTCAGTCTTTTTTTTTTTTAATAAATAATATATAAATTTAATCATAAGCTGAGATTGAGTCAAATCTCTAAATAGTAAATTCATTATTAAATGTAAACAGATTCTTCCTCTTTTCAAAAATATGCAAAGGGGAAACTAAATTTGGAATGATTCGTTTTACACTACTTACGGACCTGCTGGTTATTAATATTTGATCTCTTTTCAGTGAACTGCATTGTAGAGACAACAAAACAGCAAAGCTGCTTTTAGGGAAGAGTGGGGCATACCTTTCTCTCTGCCAAAATGCCTGCTTCAAATCAGACCAGAACAGGCAGAAGATAAAGGATGTCAGGAAGTGTATTTACCTGGGGTGTATTTTGTTATTGGCCAGGAAGTTATGAGAAGGATTTGTAGGAAAAGAAGTTGAGATTTCCAGCTGTAAGGAGACTGGAATCCAAATATACAACTTCCTCAAGTTCTGCAGCTTGGAGATTGATGTGGTATTTAAATGACCTTCTCCATTAACTGAGCGACATGACCGAGCATTTATGACTTCATCTTGAAATGAACATTTATCAAAAGGTTTGAAATCTGATTTTTTTTTTTCTTTATTAAGTGACTCTCTCCCAGTTGCTTTCCTAATGGATTTACAGTACAATATCTGAAGGTCAAAACAAAATTTCAACTTTTTAGGAACTAAAGTCACCTCTTTCTCATGATATAAAAATGAGGAACAGTAAGAATGAAGCTTGTGAGTCTAACACAGCATTTTTCAAAAGGGGTTGTGATATTTAGCTTTTGAAAAATAGTTTGGATTTTCATACCCATATGCTATTTGGAATACAGCTGCCAGGAGACGCATGGCTATCTCATTGGCCTTAGAGGATACTCTTTTCTGTTACTGATTTTCAAGATTTCTTTGTTTAACTGGCTTAACTCAATTGCTGTGGTTTCTTTGTTTGTTTTTAACTGTCAAGAATGTCTCTGTTGCGAGGAAAACTCTGCTCAGAGATATAGCAGCAGAGAAGCAAGCGGCGCCCTGAAGTCCTAGGAATAACTCCTAATTAATACCTTGTAACTGGGAGCAGGAATGGCTTTTCAGATTCTGTCTCAGAGCTGAACTCGCAGAGCAGGTCATTTCAGCAGAAGGTGTATTCCCTGCACTAATCATCCACCTGCGTTTACACAGCAATTACTAATATTTTGCCTAATGTTGTGTGCGGAGTGCAATGGGCAGTGAGACAGCAGAGCTGTGTTCTCAGTTGTCATTATCTTACATAATTTACAACATTTAAACCTATCTTTATTGTTATTAGTGTTTAATGAAAGATGTGTCTAACTGGCCACCCTTTCTATCGCATCTGGAGCTTTGAGCTAACAACATAATTTACCAGGAGAAGCATCTTCTGCCTGTTAATAAGTAATTTTGGGGGGGCAGCTCCCTCATTTCATTCTTTCATCATCAGGGCAGATTTACCAGCAAACTGTGGCTGTTTAGAAACACTTCAGGGATGTTGATTACACAGCTGCTGCTTGCAGACAACTCCCTTTGCCATCACAGAATCACAGAATGGCCTGAGTTGAAAAGGACCACAGTGATCATCGAGTTTCAACTCCCCTGCTATGTGCAGGATTGCCAAACCAGTAGACCAGGCTGAAACACCTGTTCTCTGAGTGACTGGGCCAGACTCTTCTTTCACTGCACTGCAGATTGATTTGCCTGAGAATGAAAACCATATTTTCCTTCCACTTCTGTCTCATGTACTACTTAAGCTTCCTTTGTAATGGAAGTCTGAAGGGTGCTGTTTGCAAAGTTAGCTGTAGCCAAGTGAAGCTGCACTTCCGAGGCTTCTTGTTTTGGCAGTAAAACCAGACTCCCCTCAGGAGTCCATAGCTGATGTGTAATTTAGTGTACTGTTTCGTTGTTGCTCATGGTTAAGCATCTCCCCCAAGAGCCTAGGGAATCCAGCCAAGTGGAAGACTTCAGTATGATGCTCTTTTTCCTTTGCAAGCCAGTTTCTCTGAGGCAGTCTTACAGGCTGCATAAGAAATTGATCCCTGGTGAGAGGGTTTCCAGTGTGACTACGTTAAGGTGAATGTGCCCTACAACTGTAGGAGACTTGACTTTGAGCCAAGCTCACACATAAGCATCATCTGTACAAAGCTGCTACTGTAAGCATCCTTTTCAGAGCAGTGACACTACCAGTACAGAGCAGGTCTGTTTTGACAAACTCAGTGCAAGAGCTTCCAAATGTTGCTTTTCTGGCTACTTCCATTTGCTATGTTTCCCAGTTTCTCTACCAAATATTTACTATATATAGTACAATCTAAGGAGTTTTTAACAGTACAGATACAATAGTATAGGTTGTGACTCTTCTTTGGTATGTCTGAGTCCTTTAGAAAATAGGATTTTTGTTGTTCAAAAATTTGTAACTACATTAAACACATTCTGGAATTAAATCAGGGATGAAGAGACTTTGCTCCCAGGAATCAGGTTAAATAATCAGACTAATAGTATTCACCAAGTCATGTAACATATTTGAAATTCACTCTTCTTGCAGACTGCACAGACTCTATGCCTATCTCCGCTTTCTACTTTGTTCTATTCTAAGGGCTCCAAAGGTATGAGAAGTGAAATGGTTGACCAACCCAACATAGAACATGAATTTCAGTGAGCTTAAACAACAAAAGAAGTGGAAATCTTGTGTCTAGAAAATTATCTTCAGCTGTGAATTAATACGATATTCTATAGCCTACCAAATAGTATATGATACCAATATACAAATCTAACATGCAGACACGGATTTGGTGCTGAGTTTGTTCAGCAAAGAGATGGCATTGAACCTGGAGAGGAAGAGAGAGCATGGTGGGCATCCCTCTCTATCAGTTCAGAACCAATTCAGATGCAAACAAGAATTGATAGAGCTAGATAAGTCTTTGCTGAAAATGAGGAAAGCATAGGATGACCTAATAGGAAAGTAAGGCAAAAATTTGAACTGATTAAAAACATACGGGTTGAATGGTTTATGCCAAATGTGATTAAATGCAGAGGCCTGTATTGCAAGGACAAAAATGTGAATGGTAAAATGAAGATAAAAAGAATCTTTTTGGGGTGGGGAGAGATATTGGTCTTGCCAATCACGTGTTTTAATTGTGAAGAGCTAATGCTTCTGTTCTCAGTAGGCGACGGATTTGAGTGTGTATTCTGTGTGCAATGTAACTCTCAAGAGTACAGTAAATAATGAGCCAACTGAAGATTATGAGGCAGACAAAATGAGATCCACCAAAAAAGAGTACATTTTTCTTTCAAGGAGTCATCTCCAGAATATTGTGCAACTTCTGAGAAATTTCTGACCTAGATTTTCCTGTCTTGGGTGTTTTTATTTGTTCATGTATTGTTTGGATAACAGTGAAAGTTCTGTGCAGCATCTCAGAAGTGAGAAAAACAAACAAATTATCCTATGCTGAATACAGGGAGAAAAATTTGGGGAGAATTCTTGTGTTCTGTGGGATTGAGTTCCTCTTGCCTCTGAGGAAAAGGAGGGAAGTTGTGGGAAGGAAAAGTCATGCATGATTTTCATCTTCTGTCATACTGCATAGTCCTGGGGTGATTGGGGATAGCCCTAATCCTCTACTCAAACCAAGTTACAGTAATGTGAGGTTGCTATGATTAACTATAGCAGTGAAGAATGAAGCATAAAGGTTGCTGGAACTCCTAGAGTGCCCTGTTTTACCTGAGGAACAAAAAGCAGAACAGTTTTTTTGCCTTCTGATTTCTTGAGGCTGTGAGCAAAAGAAAAAGTCTTTCAAGCCCCAAGGACACTGCTCAGTGTTCTTGCAGGAAAGGAAGGTACAAGCTTTCTCTACATCTTTCTTTTGTGCAGAGCTACTGATTTCAATCTCAAATTACTCAATTTTTGTACCCTTATGTGTCTCAGACACTGGAATGTGGCACAGACCTCAGTGTATTATGCTACCTTTAATTAAATATAATGGAACAAAATATTATTAATGATAAGCAGACATGAAATTTTGTTTAACCACATGTCGAGCTGCTCACTGGAAGAGATAAGAAATTGCAGCTATATTTCCTTTAATTTATTAGATCTGTCAGAGTAAAAATAACATCCAAGATAAGATAATGGCACTATAAATTTTGCTCCATTTGAAAAGTGATTTATGGTCCTCTGATTCACCCAAACAATCTCTATGAAAAAAGAGATTCTAATTTTTCACCATTTCTCTAAATTCTAAATCTAGACAGAACTTTTTGTCACAGAATAATGACTGGCATACACCTCGTCTCTTTTTGTAAGTGTATCATTTTAAGCAAATACAGCTATTGATGGAAAACCTTAAATTTCTTTAGTTACAGCTCAAATGAATGTGCTTTAGTTATCTCAAGTAGCCTGAAAAGCCGCACCTTTGAACTTGACCCAGAGCCTGTGGAAGTCAGCCTATTTAATTCATAGGTGTTGGAGCGAATTGGGCCTTTTCTGTTTAATTATCCTGGCTATAGGCAGTTTTGATTGGATGATACTCTGATCTCATTCTCTGAAAGAAGGATTTTTGGCAAGAAGTCTTCCCTTGTTAAAGTCAGGTACTGCTCAAGTAGAACATCTCTGGGATCCTGCTGTCTTTTTGTTGGGATCACCAGTAAAAGAAGTATTTTCCCTTAATTAACACATGAAAACCACTCATCGGGTCACCTTGTCATTGGTGGTGAGGTTTGTAATTGCTTTGTACTGGAAAATAATGGAACCCCCTCTGGGATCATTGTGCCCAATTTAAAATGTAGGATAAAATGACAGTTAAAAGTCTAACTTATGAAGTGAAATCAAATAGGTGAAGAGAAGTATATAGGTTGTATTCCTGAGCTATTTATTTCTTATGCTGAATAATAATAGTAGACTTGTTCTCTATGGCAGGAAAATAAGGCTTTTATTAATTAAAAGCTGGGGAGCCATTGTAAAAGTAATTCATGAAATTATATTCCATATTGGAATCATATCATAAAAATTTAAATTGATAAAAGAAAGTGAAAACCAAGAAAATCTTAAGTTATTTCTTATTTCTAAAGATTGTTTTAATAGATAGGATTTCCTGTGTTTTTTAAATACTAGGCTGTTGATGCAAACTTTCTCAGTTTAATACTGTGAGAAGCATGCTGGGGTTTTAGTTAAGTTTCACATTTGCTTTTGATTCAAAAAGTTGAGCGGAATGTCATGCAACTTTTTAGCACATGTGAACTTTGTGATCTTGACAATGAAGCAGCTCAAGGGCTTTGTGCTGTTTATTGCCTGAGACTGAACTGCAATGTGTAAAATGTGAAAAAATGTAAAAACTGAAGACAAAAATTCAATATAGTTCCATGGAATAATTAAAATCAAAGCTTTCTGGAAAATAAATTAAGAAAGCAAAATTTTCATCTGGATTTCATCCTCTCTTTTAAGAGTAAAATATGCTGCAGGAAAGTTCACTGTTGGCCCGAGTTCTTGTTTGTGCTTTGGAATTGTGACATCTATTTGGGAGCACTCATAAATCTGTCAAGCCCCCCCAGCAGACCAGCACACTTAGTGTTGTTGCCTTGGACTTTTGGCAGCATCCAGGAAAGAGAGGGAATCAAGATTTGTTTGTTTTGTTTTGCTCTGTTGTCTTTCCTGCCAACAGCTTCTAATTGCTAATATGCCAGAGTACTGAAGTAATTTTATTATTCATGATCGTTGATTCTTGGCCTTATGAAATGTTTACAACTTTTATGCACACTTAATATTTTTAACTTTTTTTTTTTTTTAATTCCAGATTGTTATTCAAATGGTGTTAGGGTGTGTCCTTCATTTTGGATGAATAAAAGAGGAGTTGTTATTTAGAACATAACATTTCCCTCTTCTCTTCCAAGTAAGGGGTGTATTTGAATCAAGGCCTATTTAGAAAGGTCTCAGAACTCATTGTTTTCACCTGTTTTGTGCCTGTTTTTAATTATAATCATAGTCCAATATATATTATATTTATTATCGACAAAAACTGCCTCATTGTCCTTAATCTGTATCGTTCTCTTTTCCTTCAGTGAGAAGTAAGGTTTGGTACGAAGTGTTAGGCAGAGTTCCTTATTTACTGGGGCTGTTACCAGTTCAGTCATTTCTGTGTAGTTATGATAGTCCAGCAAGCTGTTGGCATGGCTTACAAAGCGTAATGTTTCTGTGTGATGTTCTGCAGCCACACACTGCAAACTCTTGTGTCAGGAAGAAGCGGTGCTGCATGATGTATTGAATCTCTCTATGGCATGACTGGAAGGCAATCCTGACCTTGTGGCAAATTCATTGTATATATTGAAATAAAGTAAGGTTCTCAAGTTTATCTTGTGCTTGAACTATGTGGAAGCCATCAGGGTTTCTCTGGTTTTTGAAGTATTTTCAAAAACTGGCAACATGTACTCTTTATTCACAGTTAAAGATGCTGCCTGAAGTTAAATAGACCTAAATAGTGCTCTTTCATTATCTCAAAAACGTTCTTTTCATTACATCAAAATGACAAAGAACTTGTGCTTACCAGTTCGTTGTAATCCTTTGGATGTGCGTAAGTGTATGAATAAGGAAACAGTAGCAGCTGGGAGTAGGAGTGAATAGTCAGGTATGCCTTGATTGTAGAAAGATGTTCACGAATAAAATCAGCCAAAGCCTTTGTCTCCTTTTCAGACTCAGGTGAGGAGCCACAGTAAGTGGAATCACAGGGTCTATTTGAGGCCCCCAGTTCTGGAAAGAACAGTGAATGTAATGAATACTTAATAAAAAAGTTGGTTGTTAGGAGAATGATATTATATAAATTTCATAATAAACTGCCACACCTGTATTCTATCGGAACAGAGAGTCCTTTGTTGCATAGTTAAGGCACTAGGCAATATGACACAGTGTTCAGTAAATACAATCTGTTCTTCCTTGCTTGTTTGGAGGGACATGAGTTTTTTTGCAAAGCCCTATGTTATCTAAATGCTTATTATTTGCTTCCTTACTTAAAAGTCTTCTCCTTGCACATCTCCCCCATATCTGGGGTGCTTTCAGGAACCAGCAAAGAGAGCAGCCCTCTGCAATGAGTGAAACAACTGAAAGAAAGCTATTTTGACTTCTCTTCTGAAGTCTGCTGTTCATAGAAGTAGCTATACTAATGAAACTAGTAACCAAAATTTGTTTTTTGCATAAAATTTGAACACCAGCTATTCCACAATGCTTTATTGGTGGTCTTCAATCAAAATAATGATGAACCAACCATAATAACATAAGGGAAAATCCATAATTAAGTATTTTGGCTATTGCATTTCTGGGTGATTGCTGCAGCTTCTATTAGGAGACACTTACGGCACCAGCCAGCATTGAAATTCCTGTTGGGATCGGTACCAATGCAAAAGGTGCCAGTGTTTTTAGAGCGTGTCTTTCTCCACATACGGTCCTAAAATAGAATGGTGAAGCTTAGAGTAAAAGTAAGAAAGAGTTCTTACAGTTGGCTTAGCCAGCAATATTTTTGAGAAAGAGGAACATACTTACATTTGTCCAGGTGTAAACGTAACCATCAATATTAACAACTGGCAAAACATAGAAGTCCAAGCTGTTGAGAAGTTCGGTCATGGTACTGTCTGTTCCGTAGGTCTCAACAGCCTAACCAGAGACAAGTAGAAAGAGCTGATGATGCCTTCATGGAATGAAAACACCTCCAGCATATATTTGAAGGCCTGGATCTAGAATTACTGAATGTGGAAGGTGAAGTCATCCAGGGCACTGCTCCACATGAGGTGGTAGCTCTGATGTTATATATGCTCAGAAGACTTACAGTGACTGAAACCATGTTCCTGAGAGTCATCTTTTTTCTGGTGGATAAAATGTATTTTAAAGCAATGTTGATTTTGAACAGGATAATAAAGAAAAGGTTTCTATCTACTAGCTTATCAATGAAAGACAGAAGAAAGTTCTGTCTTTCTCCCCGTATATCTTCCCTGTGTCCTGTCGTCTTAAACGCTTGTTTATAGTTTGAATCGATAGTAAATTCTGGTTTTGATATCTGTTATGCAGATAAAATTCATCACTAATCAAAACTACAGAGAATATTTCCGTCATTACATCCTTAGACATTTCTAGTCATAATACTTTGGTTGCACATATTCATAGAGAGGCGGATTTTTCCATGCAATTTTCCAGGTACGTACGTCATAAGAACTCCTGCCTACATATCCTATTGTTTATGACCTAGCACTTTGTATGCTTGTTCAGAAATTTAAGTCAGTCTTGTGTGAGCATCCAATTATAATTGACATTTGCTCTAAAGGCCTGGTTGCATCCTTTACTTTACAAAGGCCTGGTTTCCTTTGCTTTACGAAGATGTAAAGTGCAATGCAAGGAGCAGTGCAGTAGAAAAAGAAATCTACTGTCCTGTAGCTAGCAAGCAGACAGGTTAGGTGTAGAATTTGGAAAAGAAATTTTAGGTCACCAGAACTTACATTTTTCCGGTGTTTTTTGTTTGTTTATTTCTTTAGGTGGGTTTTTTGTTTGGTTGGGTTTTTTGCTTGTTTGTTTGCAGATACAAAGAATGATCTACTTAGTTTTTTCTGTAGTTTCTGACTGTTATGTCTGGAAGCAATCCCAGCTGAATCTCCAATGACTCTCAGAGGACTGCACTTTAAAGTTTCTTCTACCTATCCACACTTGCATTCTCTGCGCAGAGCCACTGCTGGTGTCAGGTACATCCATGAATTAAATGATCAGACAGTGAAAATGACAGCTGTAGTGACGTGAATTGCTGAGAGAAGAATGGTAGCACATACTGTCTGCAGCCTTATTGGGAGATAATGAAATAACATTCCCTTTGACTTCACTGAGATGTCACTTTCAATTTCCACTGCTCCTTACACAAAACCGCATGGCTGTCTGAGAGATAGAGGTTATATTTGCCACCGATGCCGCTGCAAGCATACCTCATACACATGCTTAGGTAGTCTTAAGCTGCTCAAAGATTACAGGGCAGCCATTAAGATCTAGTGTAAGTGGTTGAAATAAAAATAATTGCGTTTTGTAAAACAAGTTTTGATCATTATGCTTACTGACTTCTTTCACAAACCACTGGCAGAAAGCAGGGGAGATCCACTCTCTTGCATGAAAACCACAGTCCATGAAGATGGCCTTCTTATTCGTACCGCTTTTTCCCAACTACAGAAACAAATAAAAAAACAAACCCAGGTTCCGAATGAAACAATTTGTATGCAGATGTCTAGGGAGTTCTCTCAGCTGTAGTTGACAATGATATTCAAGCTAAAACCTTATAATCTGAATGATTTTATTTTTATTAATGTAGGTTACTCTCCTCCACCACAATAATAGATTGTTCTGCACTGCTGATATATTTCCTGTGGTGTTTCTAGTAGTTAGCTTTGTTTGGATGGGTGACAGAGGCTTATGCAATTTTAGGCAAGTAACCTTTATTCTCTCACCTTTAATTCGTTAATCATATCTTATTTATTCATAAGAGTTATTCAAAAACCCCGCATCTGATGAAGAAACAAACATATTGCCTTTTGCTAGGGAGACTGACATCTATAGATCCTTTTAGAGTAAATGTGCTTACAGGTGGAGAGAATATAAAGGTAGGTGATAATTCACTTGCCTCACAGGATTGTTGTTAAATTTATGCCTGAACTTCTAGTAATTCATTATGGCCCTTATATCTTAAAGTAAAAAAGATCATAGTATAAGTTGTGCAAAAAATCTGTTTGGTTTCTTTCAAAATGTAGATTAATATCTTAACATCATCATTCAGTAGGCATCATAGTCTTGAATAGATAAGAGCATTCTGGCACAAATGAATCGCTGCACTTACTTTGAGAAGGTACAGCGGCCGTCCTTCGTATGTTTCCCCAATTACACTGCGAGAGACCAGGGTTGGGTTCTGAGCAGCAATGTCAGCAGTCCAAGCAGCTATCTGTTTAATAAGGAGAATAAAGATGTTGATGTGTCTGTGCTCAGGTCCAGAGTAACTTATTCACAGCTTTCAAGCTGGAAGGGTCCTTCTGAGAATTGAACCAAACATTTAATACCATTCATAGATTTCCAAGAATTAACTCTTACTTGTGCCAGAACTATGTATCTAATCTTAGTTGGTTTTTTTTTTTCCAGTGATAGATAGTGTTTCATAGCAGACCTCATCAAACTATTGCTGAACTAGGATTTTCTGATATGAATTTATCTAAAACTTCTAATCATTGGAATCTGGTTGGTGAGTCAAGAAACTTTTTGAATGCTAACCGTACATAGTGCTTAGAGATTATGATTTTGTCATCCTTTTAATTTAACAAAAGAAAACATTCTTCCTTTTACAGTAAGTAGGTTGAATGCCTTAAGTCTTCTGCATGCTGTCATGTTTTTCAGTTTCATAGCTCTTCTATTTATTATCATTCTTGAACTGCTTACAGAAGCACTGGGCGGGGATTTATGGGAACAGTCCAACGAAGTAAAATACAAAAGAAATAAATATGTGTAGGCAAATGGATTATGCAGATTATCTCTGTAATGAGCAATGAAGGAGAGATTTTGGAGAGGAGGTTATCAAGTTAAGGGATGTAACAGAAGAGGAGAAGGGAATATTGATGGAAGAATATCAGAAGCCATTTTGACTATGGAGGCTAAGATATCAAGTTGAGACAGTGGAAAACTTTTGGACTTTACCTTATCCCAGGTGTTGTATTTTTCATAGCTGTGACCAGTGCTACGAACTTTGCTGTCAAACTGAGCATGCAGTGCAGTCTGCAGGTTGTCAATTAGAACTCTGCAATACCACAAAAAGCAGAAAGAAATGTGCAATTTGTTAGCAGAAAATTAAGCACCATATGGATATCTTTGGATTTGCACAGAACTAAGGCCATGTTGATTATGAAGAGACATGCGGGGGACTGGTTTATGCATTTGAAAATAATGTAAGTTATGTTCAAGTTTCAATCTCCTTCCTGCCTCATCCTTGCTGACAGAATGATCACAAAGCAATAGCTTCTTAACTCACACCTGCCCACTTAACTCCCATACTAGCAAACCTCCAGAGTACTAATAGTTTGGTTTAGGAAGAATGGCAGTGCTAAAACAGGGTGCATGTAAACTATATTAGTTCTGTATCCAAGTAAAACTCTCCTTTGCCTTGGACTGACCTCATGATGCCAGATTGCCTCTTCCTCAAAAGGAAAAGGGCATTCTCTTGAACTGATGATGCTGAAGAACAATTAGACTGCAGTAATGTAACAGCCTCCTGTTATCCAGGATCTCTAGCAACCCAGAGATGTTTGCATGATTAAATTCTTTATCAAACCAGGTTTCCAAAGTTTAGGTGCAGTTTGCAGATGGCAGGATCCATACTCCAATCTGCTTTACTGCTTGTGAGAACAGCTATTAAAGTAGTAACACACCATGGCAAAAAAAAACCCGACAAAAACAACAACAGAAAAAACCACTCTAACATCCTGACTGCATTGGCTGAATCTCTCCTGTTCATCTTTCCCTGGGGCTTAGAGAAAGGCACAGCTCATCATCAAGCATGGTCTTGTGGACCTTTTGCTTATATTTCAACCTTGGCTATAAAAAAAAAAAGATGTTTCCTTGTTTTTTCCAGTGCTTGTCTTAATATCCTTACAAATTCTCACTTGTTCACGATATGTCCTCAATCATTTGGATAGAAGAGCAGGAGGCCACTTTGTGAGGCACCACCAGCCTTCAGAACAAACAGTGCAAATGAGCACATTGACATGATGTCATGGCACTACAGCTCCACTTCAAAAGAATTTTAACTGCTTGGGTTGTCACAAGGACACTCCACTGAAGTTTGTCAGGGACACCTTCCAGACATTTGTTGCCTTTGTTGCAATCAAAAGATTTGTGTATGGACCTGAGGGAGTTCATAAATATCATAGGGAAAGATAGCACATGTAACTCTTCCTTTGCCAAAGAAATAATTCCAATGATACTGGATTCCTGTGCGGTACATGGGCTGAGGTACTACTGAGAACAATCTCTTATAGAGTATTTTTAACTCTGTTCCCTCCCATGGCATCCAAACAGGACACAGTTAACATGGAGATGGCAAGTTTAGGGAGAGAGAATCCTCAGATTTAGCAGAACCTAACAGCTGTTTTTCATGAGAACTCCAAGAAATGAGTTTGATCTGGTGGAAATAAATCTGAGTGATGAAAACTCTCCACCCTGCTGAATGAAGTCATGAGAGTTTGATCAAGTAAAACTGAGTTTTGTTTCTGTGTTTATGCATACACTACACATTGAAAAAGCCTGCTAATCAAGCTGGACCAAGGAGGATGCAATGGAGGATGTTTGTGACAGGAAGATAAGTTCAATCAATATTGACAACGTTCAACACATTTTCTCCAGTATTCAGTCTCCTCCTACTCAAAACTTACTTGTAATCCACTTTGTTTTCTTTCAAGAGATGTTCAACCTCCAAAGCCTTGTCAGCTTCAACTCGGAAATCAACTTGCATTTTTGGCTTTACCAGATCAACGTAGTCTGGCTGCCAAAAGTCAACCTGAAAGAAGGCCAAATGAATATATGAACAAATACATATATACGCATGACTGAGTTTTAAGTGAGTGCATGTGTGATATAGTAATGCTGATTAATTGTGATTAATACAACAAATTTCATGCCGGTGTTACAGTGAACTGATCTTGTTTGCCAGAAAAACTGACTTAAGTTTTAAATGGAATTCAATGAAGATTTTATTAGACCCTTGAACTTATATGGAAGATTTCTGGAGATGGCAGTAACAGTTTAACAAATACCAAGTATTAACTCAGTTTTTGAGTACATTTAATTTTTGACTTATTAAATTATATTACTTAATAGGGACTGCACTAGTCTTGCACAGTGCTAAAATCAGTGCTTCGTATTTTTTCTTTTCAAAATTGAAAAAGGAAAAAAGACAAGTATCACACTAAATCAAATGACAAGTAGCCCTTATATCCATAAGAACATTCTGAACTTCATTTAAAAGAATCTGATGTAAAAGAGACTGGAGTTTTGGAACATAAGGAATATTGTCTGCTCTGAACCTCCCTTACAATTATGACAGCATCTGAACGCATACAGATTTGTGAATGCTGTGCAAAATTTGTAACTCTATAACTTTTTTCATTCTTTGTTCACATTTCATTGGAGATTTTTGCCTATAACCATTAAATGGAAATGGTCTCCTGACTATAGCAAGCTACAAACATACTTTACATACATCAGCTGGAAAGGACTGTTGAATTTATAAGTGTCTTTAAGACTCATTTTGCTGCAGTTTGTAGGAGGAGCCTATGCCTTTGGAAGGTATTGTTTAACTCATAATGGACAAATGACAGTGCAATTACTACTTTACATATTCTTTCTGAAATCTGCTTTAAGATCTCTTGGATTTAGAGTCCTGTTAAAGGTCAGTGAAAACAAAACTGGTTTACCAGTCTAATGCATTTTCAGCTTTTCATGTCCTGAACATAAAGGAAATTGGGGCTGGTCTGCATGTTCACAAATGATGTATCTTCAAGTGAGATGACTATTACAGTGTATACTGCTACCACATAAGTCCTGGCAGATTGCTTTGTATAACAATGGTAGTTTAGAGATCTTTACTTTAAAGAAAACAAGCAATCCCTTTATCCTGCAGACTTAGAAGCAAACTTGTTATATTCATTTTCATAGAACTAGCAGCAACATACCAGTAGTATATTCTTTCTGTAGAATACTGTTTCAGCATACTGTAGTACCCTGCTGCTGCTACTTCTCCACATCTGTACTTCATTAAAAATATCATCCTTTTATCCTACAGATAATGGTGTCTTTTTCACCAACAGCTATTTTACAACATCAAAGCTAAAGAGAAATATTGAAAACACATTTGCTGTCTTTATTGTTTTTTCTCATGTCATTATGTCATCATATATCTACATCAAGGTCAGTCAGAAACATGCAGCTTGGCTGGAGAAAGAAAATTTTAAAGGAAAGTCAGAGACAAAAGGTGACACAAGAGGCTAGAGGCCAAAACAATGTGCAGTTTGTTATGAATATGAATTTTTAGATTGTTTGCATGAACAAAATCTTTTACCTATAACATTAAACATTCTGGTACTTGGAAGTTTCATGTTTTGTCTAATTCATAAAGGCACTCCACAATGAATATATATAATTTCAAAGTAACTCAATTAATAAATTGCAGTGCACGCTTTCATACTCAGGCTGGGGCATCTAGTCTTTTCAGGAAGACATTAACTTGTATTTGAGTAATTCCAGCTTTATCACCTTGTCCTCTTCCCTCTGAAGAAGCACTCACAATGAGTTGCTGGAATCAGGATTAGGTCTTTAATTTAGAAGCTTGTTATTGTTTTTGTTTTGTTGTTTTTTGGTTTGTTAAGAAAAAGGAGAAATGTTCCATTTGGATTCAATAAAGCTCCTTCCCCAAGTTCTTTACCTGCATTATGCTGGCAAGGGAATGGATGATTTCCACCTGCTCATCGTTCTGTGGAATCACACGAAACACCTTGTGGCTGAAAGGAGAGAGAAATTGGATTTTAAAAAGATGAGTCAGCTGGAAGACTTTTGCTCATGGAGAAGAAACCATGAAAATATAAACCTGATGTCTGTACGTACCCATCAAAAGTCAGATCTTGCAGGTGAGCAGAAGCAACTGCAGCACCTATGAGAACTAAGAACGCCCACATGTTTTTTAAAGAAGTAAACAGGCATTCAGTTCTGGGCTTCTTTTATAATCTGTTTTGTGCTTTTTTTTTTTTTTTTTTTTTAAATCAAATATACACCAGAACAACCCACTGATCAGCTGACAGGTTATCCCTTTGGCCTTGTTTGGTTTGCATATTATTTATAATGTGTACTTTACTCCACACCTGTGAAAACAGCAGAAAGTCTCAAAGGTGGTAGTAGCAGTAGGGGCTAAGGAATTTTTCTGCTAGAGTGGGATGAACTTGTTATGTGAGAAACTGAGTTTAATCCATTTTGTTCTTTTTTAATGTTGCTTTTGTGTGTATATTTTGATGAAAAATGTAATTTTTTTTTCAGTTGTTTGGTTGCTGGATTACAAACTTTATAATAGTTAATTGTCACCTTATGTAATGGCTGATGACTTTCAGATGTTGCAGCAGTGTGACCAGTCTTCTTAATCACACACCACTCTCTCTTTTTCCTGAAAGGTCTGTGGCTGACTGTGACAGAGTCAGAGTGTCTGAAGAGGAAACACAGTTTGAATGTATGAGTTATCAATCTTTTCCCAGTAGGGAGGAAAGGTACTGAACTTTTTGTTGCTTCAGTTATCTCACTCGAAGGGAATCAGATGCCTGCAGAACTGAAGGTGTAGATATTTCTAGTCACGGTGGAGTTGTACATATTCTTCACATAACATATTCACAGATTCATTTGTTCTCTCTAATTATACCATAGGAAAATCAGAGGTCAAATTCACTCTCTTGTGGGAATTAACTATAGGCCAAGAAGATCAAATGACGCATAGTCATATAAACACATTTTCATTTTTACTTCCGTGTTGTTCTTAAACTATCTGAGAATTGTATTTTCTCATCACTGTGCTTGCATCTGTTTAGTTTTCATTAACATGCCCTAGGCATTAAATGTTACATGAATTGTCTGCTGATGCTGTGTCCTGAGGTGATTGATGCTTTTGGCAGGGAGCCTGTAAATGAATCAGCATACATATATATATAAAGAATGGAATGTATGAGCTCAGTTCTGTTTTCTGTTATGCCTAAGTGACCTGACAGATTCCAGGGTTTCAGACACAGATCATCTTGAAGATGTTCTTTGACTCCATGTCTGCTATTTTGCAGAAATCTGCATATGCAAATATCATATATATGTCAAAATGCATCAGAAAATTGAATGCGTTCATCTTGCAGAAAAAGGAATAGCAAGTTTCAGAGGACTATCTTAAGAAAGAAAGTCATGATAGATGCTGCACTTAGCTTTTTTAAAGAGGTTCCCTAGAGACAGTAAAACTGCTCAGTAAAACTGCAGCAGCTTTATATAGGGAATGCCCTAGAAATACATTTTTAAAACCTACGTACCAAGTATGCAGCAGTTTTACATAAAAAAATAACATAATGAATATGCTCTTAAAAGGATGCTCCCAAACTGAGCCTGCTTATTCAAGAGTTATGCTTGCCAAATCATTCAGTTTGAACTTACTTCACAATTAATGACCTAATTTGTTGCACTATGGGCACTTACCCTGCAATAATCTTGCTTTTACTCGAGTCTCCTAAGAAGGATGACAGCAGGAGTTATTCTGACAAACTGCCAAAACAATACTGCAAAGTCTTCAGAAGTTTTAATTTTAAGTTGATTAGATCTATGGTATTAGGTAAAACGGTCTGGTCCACGAACACTGCAATGACAATAATGCACTGATGATCAAGCCCAGATCTTGCAATGAGTAAATGATCATAAGGAGTAATCAAACAAATTGCAGATATCATCATTCCCTGCTGAGCGCTGAAAAATATTTTGGAAATAGAAGAATGCTAGATTTCAAGGCATGAGTTTACTTTTAAATGTTTTTTTCATGCAGTTGGAGATCTTTTGCTTTCGCAAACAATCACTGACACAGCATTACTGCCATCAGCTACTGAGCTGGCAAGTGTTAGAAATATAATTTCTGATGGCAGTTTTTGCTGTTTCCATCACAGACTAGGTCAGGAAAAAGACAATGACCTGGAATCCTATTTAAATTATTCATTTTGCATCTCAGGATTGATGGTTAAGTGTAAGATTAGCTCCTAAACAAGCTCTAACACAGTCTTGTTTTTCTAACTGTACAATATAACTGTTCAATATTTGTATGATAAAGAGGCAGCATAAGGATAAATAAAATAACAAATTAAATTTGGTTAAGCCATCTGTTCTTTTTATTGTCTGATTACAAGCCAACAGCACATCAGTAGGCCGTGGCTGAATAAACCTTGGGCATTAGTACTTAAAACTGAGAGCAGAGGCCAGTGCTACCTATATTATTTCAGTTTTGGGAAGAGAAATACTCTGCAGTAGAACACTCAGCCTTGACATTCTTATGAAGGATAAGTGTAAACCAATAAAGGGAAAAAATACATATTGATGTTTCAGAAGCATCCTTTATCACATGAAACCTTTCGTTCCATTTGTTATCAAACTGAGTGAAATGTCTAAGATTAAATAACATCTCTTTTTCTAGAAGTTCTCAGCAGTTACACATTTTCTGAACCAGATATTTTGTTATGTTTAAAAACAGTGTATTTTCTTTTAGTCACAATATATTGCCAGAACTTCTAATCCCTGACTGACAAATTTATCTTATTATTCTTTGATATTTATTAAGTTCCAAAATAACATTGAAAAATTCCTCAGTGCCCAAATATTAATCCTATATATGTATATAATGTATGAAAATCCTAACTGTGCCTCAGGCCAGCGTATGTTTTTGGATTATGGGATACTGTTATCTCTATTTATTATATCTTATCATTATTGTTTATTTTATCATCATTACTTGTGTGTTCTAGATAATATTAGTTTTGAAGAGTTATACTTCTGAAAATATTCTGAAAACCTTTGAGATACTTTGAAGATGCCAGGATCAGCAGAATCTGCTATCCAACATGTACTTCAAGCTTTGCTGGTATTTTCTTTGTATTTATATATTATTAATATTGCATCCTGTAATTCATCAAAGGCTTTTTCAACTTTTGTGCCCTGGGACATGCTTATATCCTACCATTTCGGTAGCTATGGGTATGTATGTCCCTCTCCCCCCCATTCCTTTCTCCTCACAGATGCATATTAACATGTGAATGGGAACTAGGATAGGGAGAGGAAACAGCGGTTGGGATGAGATCTAGGCTATGGAGCAAAAATGTAACAAGGAAGCAACAAAATTTGTAATCTCTCTTTTATGAAGTCATTGGATTTGTATCTCCCGTGAGATATTTTTAATATTGACTAGGATTAAGAATGAATGTATTGCAGCTTTCTTTTGTGTTCATTTATGAACTGCTTAGTGTTCAGAAAGTATTTTTTATCCTGAACTACAGAATGTTGTACATACATTTCACATTTGAATTCCTACTTGCTTGAAAATGACGTGAAACTACTGAAGTGGAAGGAGCAGGTAAATATCGTGGCAGTGCCAGAATTCTCTGAAGCCAGGTACTGAGAATCTAAAAGCTGAGTACCAAGCAGAAGAAATACTTTTAACAGAACAATAAGGACTGACCTCACACTCATTTGTTATGGATGTCTTCTGCTTAATTATCTTGCCCTTGGGATGGGCTTTCCATTGTGATCAAGAGTGGTGGGTTCTTGTACTCAAGCCTATTCTCTGGCATGTGTAAGGCTGGCTGGGGTCATGGCAGGGCTCAGCAACAGCTCAAAGATTCAAAAAGCGTAAAGGTTCCTTCCCTTAATTCTTAAGGCACTGAAATCAGCATGTGGTGTATAGTCAGAGATCATGGCTTCCCTGAAAAGATCCTAATCTGAAAAAAGTACAAAAATAACCAGGCACTCAGCACCCTTACTGACAGAAGCCAGCTCTTTCAATTCTCAACTTCTTGCTATATCTGATGGATGTAGGAGTTTCTCTTCTGGTGTAGTTCAGTACAACGTTAACACCTATATAACATCTCCAGCAATGTGAGAAGCAGATGCTGTGGAGGCAGGTGCTAGAGTTGTGCTGTAAGAGATACAAGGGTATCTGCCCACTGCTGAGGTCTCTCCAGGATAACTAATGTGGGTTGTTAGCACATTTTCTTCCTCAGTATTCCTCAGTTCCTGTTCCGGGATCCTCAGGGGGAGAAGGGTAAATCAGGCTGTCAGTGTGCTATCATCCACTTCCAGTTCTAACAGAAGGATTTAGACAGACAGATGAATCTCCATTTCATCTAGTTAAATGTGATCCAGATAGTGATGGATTGGAGTTAACACAGCACAGCAGGGTGACCACGAGTGGGAGGGAAGACAGATGATACATAATGGGAGAGTCCAGGCTGTATCAAAAACATCAGCAAGAAAGGTTCAAGGAAGAAAATGGACCGGACACAGCAGCTAGATTCCGCTCTTAGGCTTAAGTGAAATTTCTTTTTACAGCTTGCTGGGTAATTTACTGTTCTGTTTTGATTTTTTGCAATATTGGCCTTCGTGGGTGATGTAAATCATGACCATTTTTCTCCTGTATAGCCTGTTTGTCATCAGTAGACTTGATAGTGTTTGAAGTCCAGTGCTTGGATAAATCACCTTCAACTCTGAATGATTTTGAAGTCTGTTGCCCTTTGCTGGAAGAAGGGCTCTATCAGCTGGTGCTAGGCCTGGGCAAAGGTCAGGGAGCTCTGCCATTTCAGAAAAACAAGGCCTGTTAGAAATGGTCAGAATTTCTCACTTTGCATTTACTGAAATAAGACAAGTTCACAAGCTGCAGAAAAAATGGAACTCTGCTGAAAGCACGGAGGCTACAACTATTTCTCTGTCTTCAGTTAGATAAGCTTCCTTCTTCCTTATCATCAGATTTTGGATATGTCATGCTGTAAAAACAAAAACATGAAATGAAAAAGGCCAAATAGACCAGGTATTATAAATGAGGTATTCTGCATATCACTTTGCTCATGTAACAATGTGATCCTTTACAGAAGAATCGTGGTTCTTAGTTAATGAGAAGCATTCACAAAACTCTTTCCAAAGTGATTAACTTGACGAATAATATACACTTGGATAGCATTG